TTACCTACAGCTCACTAACACACACTGCCCTCAGGAGTCTTGCTCTTAGTTGGGAAGAAACAGAGCAGATGTTGACAAGGATGTGTGAGTGTGTATATATACAATATATACAGTTGTAGTCAAAAGTATTAACCCTGCTGTGATTTTTTTTTTTCCAAATATTTTCCAAACTCTGTTTAAAAGATTCAGGAATTTTTTACAGTATTTTCTATAATATTTGTCCTCTGGAGAAAGTCTTATTTGTTTTTATTTCGGCTAGAATAAAAGCAGTTACTAATTTTTTTTAAACCATTTAAGGTCAAAATTATTAGACCTCTTAAGCAGAATTTTTTTTTCGATTGTCTGCAGAACAAACCATCATTATACAGTGGCGTCTTCTGCCGTGCCTCGCACATAAGCACTGCCTTTTTAGACAACAAGTTGTTTTTAAAACAAGATAAAACAGTTTCAACTTTTACCCGGAGCAGCACTCATTACTGTCAGTTACACAGCAGTGGACCAATCAGAAGAACTCTTGAGGGGGACGCTTCTGTGTTGCAAGTTGGCTTGACAATAGCCCCCTTCAAACAGTGATACTTGTAAATATCCGAATAATTACCGGAACGACTTTACCGGTAAATTTAAAAAGGCGCTGTTCACACAGGCAAGGATGGTACAGAATATTTCCAGAAAAGACCATTCCCACATCCATTACAAAATACCAGTAAATTCTGACATCATTAACCAGAAATGAGCTCTAAAAGGCAGCGCTTGTATTTATAAACATTCGACAGCATTACAAATTTCTGTGGATGGATCAGCATTGTGAACAACTTCGATAAAAACATATGGAGGAACACTTTTGCATGTTGAGATGTTCATAATATATGTGTGTGTGTGTGTGTGTGCTGGCCTTACCGGCTGCTTCATGTGCACACACGTCAGAGCTTGAAGCTAAACAAACAATGGCTTATCATAAGCATTTTATCAATCTTTTTTTTTTTAAACAGTTTGTGTGTGTGTGTGTGTGTGTGTGTGTGTGTGTGTGTGTGTGTGTGTGTGTGTGTGTGTGTGTGTGTGTGTGTGTGTGTGTGTGTGTGTGTGTGTGTGTGTGGTGGGGAATTGTGCACTTTTCCTATAGCAATATTTATTTTTCCAGCGCTCTCCCTTCCTTCTAATGTTCTCATCCATCTGTCTGACCTACACTTGTCATTTCTGAAGAGAACCTATGGCAACACGAGCAAATGTCAAGTGTGTGTCTCACTGAGGCTGCTTTTCACACATTCATAGTATTATACTTGTACATCTCTGAGTGTGTGTCTTCAAAAAGATGTGTATGTTGTCTATCATGGGCTCCTAAATGTAAACCTGAACACTTCCATTTTTAGTCTGCTTTATTTAATTTAATTTAATAGTCTGCTGTGAACCACCTATTCAAATAGAGTGTGGAGCTGTTGAACTAAAGCTAACATTAGCTTAAAAAAACTAGTGTGCTGCCTAGTATGACAGTGTTTTAAATATTCTGACTTCTAGGATAGCTTTAGCCAACTTGTAAAGCAGTATGCAGCCTTTGTATAGAGAAGGCAATGCCAGATTGCACTGCAACAAGACAAAGCATTTTACTGAGCTTGTTTTAGTCTGACATTGCCTTAATCATAGTCATTACATGACATGTTTTGCAGTGTGTTCTTCAGTTCACAATAAAGAATGAAAATGTTAATGAGCATTTCTTTATTAGCTTTTTTCTAGGTGTAAAATGTTTTAAATCATTTTATTGTCAGCTTTGAGATTAGCTCTCACTGCTCAGCTTCCTATTTTACCATGTTTTTTAAATGTGTTTTACCTTTCAGGTGATTTCAAAATACAGTATTATTGTATTAATATAAATACTTACTTTCTTTTGTCTTTTTTGTTATTACAGCATTAGATAACACTTAAAGCCCAGTTTTCACTAATTAGTTGCTTATTACTACACTCAAAAGAATTATTACTGCTGCTTGTTCAAACTACCTGTTTAAAATGAGCTGAAACAACACAATTCTTGAAATTTCTTTGGCCAATGTTTTTGTTTTATGTTTGGTCCACTTACAGTTGAATTGAGTTTACTTGAAGCGGTTTTTGTTGGGACAACATGAAGGAATTGTGTTGGTCCAACTACTGTATCTGGTTAGTGGATTTGTAGGATTTAATGAGGGAAATAAAGTGTTGGCAATAAAAGTAATCTTCGGTGTTTAAAGTTATAGAAAGACTTGCTAGAGTTTAATCTTCACTTTAGTTTGAAGATTTAGAAGATTTTCATTTAATGCTTTGTGTTTTAAGATTACCACCCTGCAGAAGCACCCATGCTTTGGGTGTTGGCAGCTTAATTAGCATAAACGCAGTTTGTTGCTTCGCCCAGTGAGACCTCCTAAAATGAGTTCTTAGATCAGTCTCAATCAAATGTATATAAGTAACTCATGAAATGTGCTTAAAATGGCTCTTTTAGTTCATTCATAGGAAAACTTAAATTAAAACTTCGAAAAGAGAAAAGAGGCTTCGAAATGTTCATAAGTCATACATATCATCAGACATTTAAAATAAAAAATTAAATTAAAGTTTAATTAAAATAAAAATACTAATGTGTTTAAACTTTTATTTAATAAAATCCTGTTGGACCAACTCTATTGCGTTTATTTGTGTAAATAGTTTTTTTTTTTTTAGTTCATGCTAATCAAATTTATTGCATGGAAGTTCTGTACTCAATTAAATTGAATTCATCCAATGAGTTATTTTTTGAGTGTTAGTGATATAATTGGGCTGTTTATTAGTGATTGTAATGTATTCTTTCTGAACCTCTCTATTTTTGTCCACTACCTAAGCTTAAATACTACCTACTACTACCTTCCTAACTAATTGTAATCAGCAAATAAGAAGTTTATTGAGCTAAAGGTTATAGTTAATGGTTTGTTAATAGCGAGAATAAAAACTTAAAGTGGGACTCTTTGAATTACATTTTATTTAATGTTTTATTTGCAATTTTTACCTATTTTATCTGTTTGCATTTTAAAGGAAGTTTTTTTTAAATGTATAAATATTTTCTGCATTATATATATTGAACTATATTTGTATTTAAAAATCACACAAAGCAAATATATATATATATATATATATATATATATATATATATATATATATATATATATATATATATATATGATTTTTAAATACAAATATAGGTCAATATATATAATATTTTTTATATATATTTTTTATTTATTTTTTATATTTATATTTTTAATATATTAAAAATTAAGTTATATATATATATATATATATATATATATATAGATTTTTGCTATATTATAACAAAAATATAAATTGTTACTTCAACTTAACAACATATAATAATAATAATAATAATCTTAATAATAATAATAAAAATAACAATAACAACAATAATAAGAAATTATAAAATAATAATTAATTCATTTTCTTTTTCGGCATAGTGCCTTTATTCATCAGAGTTCGCCACAGTGGAATGAACCGCCAACTTATCCAGCATATGTTTTACACAGTGGATGCCCTTTCAGCTGCAATCCAGAGCTGGGAAACACCTACACCTATATACCTATACATACTCCACACACATACACTGCAGTTTATTCAAGTACTAGTTCATTCAATTCACCTATAGCGCATGTCTTTGGACTTACGGGGGAAAACCAGAGCACCCGAAGGAAACCCAAGCCAACACAGGGAGAACATGCAAACTCCACACAGAAATGCCAACTGACCCAGCTAAGACTTGAACCAGCGACATTATTGCTGTGCTAACCACTGAGCCACTGTGTCATCCCAATCATAAAACGTCAACAAACGTCAGCTAGCTAGTCAATCATTTATCACTTGTCATATTGCTTGTAGCTGAACTTGTTTAGCAGTGATGGATTATAGACCTTTAGACAGCGTGTGACCACACACAGGATTAGAAATGTTATCAAACCACAGGAGACGGCCACAACCCTCTCCCCGATCACATGGCCGAAAATGAGCAAACACAACACTGAATGTTAATTGGCCCCTGTGCTGGAGGCCGATTGGTCCTCTCAGGACCTCACAGCTGGAGGCCCCTGGGAGTCCCTCACATGGCCAATCACTAATCCTGCCCCTCTCTCCATCTCTCTCTTTTCCACTCTTCCTTCAGCACACAGCGTTTACGCAGTTTTTCTACATCCCACACTCCATTAGTATGCAGAGAGGACACGTTTTTGAATTATGGTGGAAAGAAAAGTGACATTGATAGCACCAAACAAAGGCAAACAGTTCTGCTCTTTCTCGTTTCAGAAAGCGAGAGCATCAGGATGTGAGAGTGAGGTGCGTGCCTGCGTGTGTGAAAGAGAGAAACAACAGCTTTTGTTTTTCTCATTAACATGATGTTATTTCTGCGCAGACTGCAGATTGACTAAACGGAAACAGCCACTCCAGTGTAAAGTTGTTGTTTTTTTTTTGTTTGTTTTGATGTCCTCACTAATAAAAAGACTGTTGGTTAAACCTGCCTATGACTAGTCATTATAGTTAAAATCTAATGTCTTTAATGATTTTACTGTAGAGGTAGTGATCTCTAATGATGTGGCTTCACAACAACTCGGTGAATGTCCTTGAGTGGCCCAGCCAGAGCCCAGATCTAAATCCTATTAAACATCTCTGGAAAGATATGAAAATGGCTGTACACCGTCGCTTCCCATCCAACCTGATAGAGCTTGAGAGGTACAGCAAAGAGGAACGGACAAACATTCCCAAAGACCGGTGTGCCAAGCTTGTGGCATCATATTCAAAAAGACTTGAGGCTGTAATTGCTGCAAAAGGTGCATCAACAAAGTATTGAGCAAAGGCTGTGAATACATATGTACATGTGATTTTTAAGTTTTTTTTTTTTTATAAATTTGCAACAATTAATAAACTGTACACTGGCAAATGTGTAAAAAAAATCAAAGTACACTTTCTGAAATGTAATGAAACGTGTGTATGTTTTATGTCTTCAGGCTTGCCGTCATGGACATGTGCAGCATCTGGAACACCTGCTGTTTTACGGAGCGGACATGAGCGCTCAGAATGCTTCTGGAAACACTGCCCTGCACGTGTGTGCTCTCTACAACCAGGTAACACACACTCATTCAATCATACTGTATGCATTCCCTTAGCAACCAGATAGCACACACACACACACATACACACATATATCTCCAGGCTCAGATGTCTGCATATCCGCAAGGACACACACTCAGTCATTCAGCCTGAAATATCTGCACTCGCTCAGCCAGAAAAAATAAAAGCTCCATACACACATGTGGCATTTGCATAATATGTATAATATGTTGTCAGTATCAGAGGTAATGAGCGTAAAACAAAAACAGCAAGGTCACATTTTAGTTCATGCAGTCACACAGACATACAGAGCATGATCGAATCCTCAGGTGTGTGTGTGTGTGTGTGTGTGTGTGTGTGTGTGTGTGTGTGTGTGTGTGTGTGTGTGTGTGTGTGTGTGTGTGTGTGTGTGTGTGTGTGTGTGTGTTGTGTGTGTGTGTGTGTGGAAGCTCATGCATTTTAATTCCGCTCTTATTAAGTATTAATGGATGCTTCCACAAACACACACACCCACACAAACACAACAAAGACAAAAGACAGGGCTTTAGGAACACCCAAAACACATTTCAAGTCACAGAGCTCATGTGTACTAAATGTTTCCATTTCTGTCTCTCTGTCTTCAATCTGCTGTAAATCTGCTGAATCTCTCTGTCGTGTCTGTGAACGTCATTTGAATGCTGATGTCATTGTGTGGAAACGGTGCATGTATATACATTTATACAGTTGATGTCAGAATTATTAGCCCCCCTGTATATTGTTCCTCCAATTTCTGTTTAACAGAAAGAAGAATTTTTACAATGCATTTCTAAACATAATAGTCTCTATTTTGATGATCTAGTTGCAAAGTCTAAAGGACGACGGCTCATAAGCATTAAGGTCATGTCCAAATCCAATTTCGCTATTTTAAGAATGAAAAAATACAGATAAAATAGATTTCTGCTCTTAATGAGTTTTGGGTGTTTTGTGTGTGTTTCATAACATGCATTAAACCAATCAGAGTCTCATCTCCCATTCGCTTTAAGAGTCAGTTACATCATGCCATAGTGCATTTGCTATTTACACGGCAGACTTTGTAAGTGGAAAAACTGAACGCATCACTAGCGATAAAACAGTTAAACAAAGTATCTGCAGCACAAGGACAAAGAATTAGCCTCCTCCATTCGGCTTCTTTACTTTCTCTTCCACTCTTTACACCTTTACTTTAGTAAGGAAATGGTGCTGTACTCACTCCACTGAAGACATCCATTAGCCTACATATTCAATTTAGATTGTTAAATGCAAAGATTTGTTTCAGAACTATTTCTAAAGTCAGTTCTAATTTCCAGCAAATTAATAAATAAACAATAACAACTAATTATGGTTTGAAGAAGTAGAAGTGTAGTAAACACGTCCTATTCTTATGCCCCATATGGTGATGTAGACGTCTCCAAAACCCGACAGGTGAATAAATCTAAACTTATTTTTATTAAAACAAATATAAATATCCTTACCTTGGAATTATAAGGTTCTATCTGCATTCTGAATGATTTTGAGATATTGAGCTTCAAAGTTTTTGCATTCCATAGCAAACAGTATGTGTGTAATTTTTTTTTTTAATTATTAAATTGTAAACAAAATCCCATAATGTATATAAGTTGTCATTAAATAAGAATATGTCAATAACTCAATTTTGACAAAAATGTCAGATAGAACATTATAATTCTAAGGGGACGTAATAATAATAATAATAATAATAATAATAATAATAATAATAATAATAATAATAACAACAACATTATACAAATGCAAATTGTCATGAATAAACCCCCGGAAATGAGGCATGGAGGCAGTGTTTTTTTATATTTATGTAGAAAATGATGATTTCTATTATATTTTAATCCTTAAATTATTTTCATATGTAAAGATATTTGTGTATTGCTGTATATCCTGTGTGTATTAATCAATGTGTAAGCGGTTGGATCTGCATAGGTGCATAACTAACATGCTCTGGACTTTAGACAAGCTTTTACCTGGTCAGTGGTGCAGTCAATTTCAGTTCCTGAAAATATCAACGTGCCAATACTGTGCCTTAACTCTTTTATAGACCTATACCTCCTTTATAGACGGGCACATGCATGAGTCTACAAAGTGGCGCAAATGGATTTGCTATTTAAACAACTTAGTGTAAGACGTGAAAATTAGGGTTGCGCTGATCTGAAAATAGCAACAAATCACGGCAAACATGTCCTGCGCCTTACTGTGCCAGGTGTATGATAGGGGCCAATAGTTTTAATAACTTATAGCTAAAAACTGATTTCTTTTATCTTTGTCATGATGACAGTACATTATATTTTACTAGATATTAGTGTTCAGCTTAAAGTATCATATAAAGGCTTAACTAGGTTATTTAGGTCAATTAGGCAAATCATTGTATAACAATGGTTTGTTCTGTTGACAATAAAACTAAAATATTGCTTAAGGGGGCTTATAATATTAACTTTAAAATGGTTTTAAAACAATTATAAACTGCTTATATTCTAGCCGAAATAAAACAAATAAGTTTTAAAATTTCTCCAAAAGAAAAAAATATTTTAGTAAATACTGTGGAAATTTCCTTGCTTTGTTAAACATCATTTGGGAAATATTTGAAAAAATAAAGTGATAAGATTGCGAATCAATATGACTTCAACTGTATATAAAAGTTCCGATCCAAAAACTGCCGTCTGGGATTTTCCTTTAAAAAAGATGCTGTTTTTCTCAGCCTCCTGTGTGTAGGTTCAATATTTTAACTTTTTATAGCAATTAAGTTTTTTTCTTTCCCCACATCCCACGCCTTTGTGTGCTTTCACCCACCGGTGTTCATCGGCGGGTCTGTGACCAGCGCCTCCTGGCTGCAAGACTAAATGACTGCCACCTTTATCCGACTATATCCACATCCCCTGTTCCCATGCCCTGTTGCGATGTTATGTCTATGTGTTTTTGTGCTTGTGCTGGGGCTTTTTTCCCCCCTGATCTGACACTGCCCTACTTCAACGACAGTCTGAGACAGGCTTTTTTCTTTCCTCCCTATTCCCAAATGTATCTTATTTTTCTCTTTCTAAAAGCTACTTCTCGTCTGACCTGTCTTCCCCCTAAAATGTGTGATCTTTGTGTATGGTCGGAGGGTCCAATTTCACTGCATGTAAAAGTGTATGTGACATATAAAGGCTTTTCATCATTATCATCATCATTATATTTAAAGTGGAACAATTGTATATAAACACAGGAAGCTGAGAAAAAATGCTCATTTTCTAAGAAACGTTCAGACGCCACTTAGAAGTTTGCATCTGAACTCTTGTGTATGTGTTTTTGTTTTTTGTTTGAATGTGCATATCGTGACAGATTTGTTCTTAATTACCATGCTGGTAAATGCTAAAATAGAAACTCAATGTATAAACAAAAAAGTTTATACTGTTTTCTGATAAGCAAAAATTGTTTTTCTTTTTATTTGACTTAACCATAGCTTGTTAGAATTAGTTTTATATACAAGCATTCAAAGTCTTTTGTACAACTTATTTCAAGTGTGTGTGTGTGTGTGTGTGTGTGTGTGTGTGTGCGTGTGCGTGTCTGTGTCTGTGTGATTTCTAATTTTAAAGCAGTGGATTCTGTTTATCTTCATTCAGCTCATTATAATGAGATTAAACTACATCTGACCTGCACTAATGTAACATCCAGTCTGGATGAAGTCAGTTACAAACAGATCAATAACATCCAAACAGCACAAACAGAAAGAAAAGAGGACACAGTGTAGTGACCTCTCCTTCTGCAACATACAAATAGGAGCATTAAAGGAAGAACTTAGATCATAGTTTCTGCTGTTGATGCATATTGGATAACATCATTTCTTCAGGTTATGGTTAGATTTTTTTTTCTTTTTGTCATATATCAAACACAATCTCACATGTGATGCACTAAATGTGTTGAAGTGGTGTGACAGACGCAAGAATAAGAGCTGCTGACACAGCAAGGAAAAGTGGCTCTCTATAAATATAGCATAGTACTTTGTTTCAGTGTGTAATGAGGTTTAATGAACAAATTTGCTGGAAATTGTCTCCTGATAAGTAGATAAGTTTTAAATTGTGCTCTTAAAAGGCAAAATCTTTACTATATAATCAGCTAATATGTTTTTGTATGTTTCAGTAATAATTAAAAGTAGTTTTCACTGTAAATTACAATTTATTCTGTCAGTCAGGTAGAAGTCACCTTGCTTTTTTCAAGGCAAATGTTTACTTTCAAAAGATGTCCTAAAAGGTACTTAAAAGTTTGCTAAACATTGGCTAAAAACTGTTTATTACAATTTATTGTGGGTGTTTAATAAGGAATTCAAGAGTTCGGCCTTAGCTGATTTTTGATTATAAAGCGTGTTTGGCTTGCTGTCCCGGGAGAGAGCCCTGAGCTTGTGAGATCCTCGAGCCCGGGGCTCCCCCACGTTGCAGGGCGAGAGGGGAGTCCGAGTTCAGGTAGATCTCAAGAACTCCCCTGCTTGATGATGTTGGAAGTAGATTATAAATGCTATGAAGTGTCTATGCTGTCAATTTAGATTTGTCAATTTACTTATGTTAGGTGTTTTTGGTCTGTGGGAGGAAACCGGAGAGCCCGGTGAAAACCAACGCAAACACGGGGAGAACATGCAATTTCCGAGCAGAAACGCCGACCTGGCCAGGTAGTTTCTGAGCTAGTGACATTCTTGCTGTGTGGCAATGGTGCTAACCATTAGGCCTCAGTGCTGTCCTGGCAAGGAAATGGGAGGAGTAGGGGTGGAAGGGGGGGATTCTTCACGACGAAGATGGCTGTGGTAAGATATTCATAGTGGTTATTCATAGTGGTTAAGGAGTCGTCTGATTGGTGAATCAGTGTTAGATAATGTGGACCAGCTGCTATCAATCATAAGCGCGTGCTTCTCTCAAAATTAGTTTATAAATAAACTTCACAACGAGAAAAAAAGAAAAAGGTTAAAAAAGTTTTTAAAAAAGTCATAAAAAGTTGTAAGTTAGGG